ATTGCATTTGAAATGCTTTAAGTACAAAACACATAATTCAAGCACAAAACAATGTGTAATGATCTCACAAATACATTTCTAAAACTCGGAAATGAAAAAATAACAGCTTCAAATAAGGAGATAATACTCCACAAAGGCTTGCTCAACAGATGACATTTTAAACCAAAGATAAGCACAGGCAATGTCAGTTAGTGTTATTCTTAGTGGTGCTGCATGAGATTAAAAAACAAATTTTCAAATTCTAGTAGTGATATTAAATTGCTTTCTAATCTGGATTAAAAGTAGTATGAAGTCTTTAAAGTACTTAAATTATGAGAAAATGTTGACTTTCCAATTGGCAATGTGACCTTTAAAATATGCCAAGAGAATGCCCAGCCAGTGTGCCTCAGTGGTTGAGCGTCAACCCATGAACCAGGTCACAGTTCGATTTCTGGCCAGGGCACATGCCCAGGTTTCAGGCTTGATCTCCAATAGGGTTCGTGCATGAGAGGCAGCCAATCGATAATTTTCTCTCAGCATTGATGTTTCTCTCTCTCCCTCCCTTTCCCTTCACATCTCTGAAATCAATTTTTAAAAAGCATACTTAAAATATGCCAAGTGTGCAAATCACAAGTAACAACATGTAGATGCCTGTAATGTCCCATTTCTTATCACAAATCTGCTGCTTTGCTGGCCAGTATAGAGGCGTGACAGACCTCTCTGCCTCAATGACAAGTGTACAAATTTAATTCTTATAAGAATCTCACATAAAATCCAAGAACAAGCAGGTTCATCAAAAGAACTAACCTGCACTCTTTTGTTTCTTAAACAAATTAAAGACAATAAAACAGTTTAAGTCAGATTTTTAACCTAAGTGAAAATTCATTTTTCAAAGTCTCAGAGCTGTATTCATTTTCTTTTTCAGCTGAAAGGATGAAGCATAATAGCCACAACTTTGTTACAGACTAAAATCCAACAGGTGATTCCAACACCACCTAAAAATAAAGAAATTCAAAGTGAGAGCACAGCAAGAGTTCTGCCCACATTCCCTGCCTCTGCTACCTTCATCTTAGAGCAGTTGTTCCCAACGTGGGGCACACGCCCCACAGGGGGGCAATTCGAGAATAAGTTATTAACAATGAACCTTTTGCATTTCTTATGGTTCTAGGGGCCTCATATACAATATATAAATACATACTGTGACATTTATGCCAGTTCTCTATTATATGTTTTGAAACTTTGCTATTTTTTCATATCACTTCATATTATTATTGTTTTAACAATTTCTTAGTGATTTCTTCCTCAGGACTTCAACTTCTTTTGTTCTTTTATTTTTCTCTTTATGGATGCCATGTTCTTTGGAAGCTTGTTTAGACCAAGTTAATGGCCTTTTGGGCTTCCTCCACATGAATAGGAGTTCACTTTTTGAATAATAAGAATTATATGGGGGGAGGTTGGGGGTTAATGGGGGGGATGAGGACACATTTGTAATACCTTAACTAATAAAAAAAGAAAGAAAGAAAGAAAAATCTTTAAAAAAAGAAAAAAAAAGAATTATATGTCACGGGGGGGTGGGGGCATCAGGATTTTAGAGATGCTTAGGTGGGGCGTGGCCAAAAAAAGGTTGGGAACCACTGTCTTAGAGGAAGTAAGAGTAGTTCCATTCTTTTGGAGCAGTGCTGGCCTAAGACAAAGTTTGTATTTCGTGGGTTCCAATGCATCAGACTTTCGATTAATTCACAGGGCTGCCTTCCTTACTAAGCAGGAATTATACAGAACCATGAGCGCTGGTTTGAATTCCCCTTCTCTACCGAGAAATAGGCTTTATTATTTACAATATTCGTAGGCTGCAAGACCACTCGGTGACACTATTTGGTTTTCCCTCCTCAAAGAGCGTCACGAATGAAGCAATGTTTACCCACACCGTTCCTGTCCCACTGGTCAATGAGAGACAGGAAGACAGGCTGCAAGAGTGGCCAGTGGCCTGCTGGCTGCCGGGAAGAGTGGCCTCTTGCACCAGTACTGCCCTCAAGGCTGAGTCCCACAAAGGGGGTGGGGGAGGGAAGTGGTTAAATTGAAATAGTCATTCCTTTTAATTTAGTAATTCACCTCCAGCATGATCACAAATCACAACCAAAAACTGGCTGAAAGGAGGTGTGCTATAGCATTATTCTTGGTAGAAAAAATTAGGACCTAATTTTTAACAGGAAAATTAGTAAATTATGACACATCCAAATGAAGAACAGCTATTCAAAACTCCTTAATAAAGAAAAGTTTATTGATATGGGAGAAGGCTTACAATATAAAGTAAAAAGGGACAAAAAGCTAGACAACCTTAACTATACAAGGGTGGGCAAAAGTAAGTCTACAGTTGTTCGAATGGAATATATAATACAAGAATAAATAATAATACAAGAATAAACTGTGTTTCATGTAATCATAACTGTACACCTACTTTTGCCCACCCCTGTATAAAAATAAATAGGAAAAAAAAGACTGGAAAAATATAGCACAGTCTAAGAGGTTATCCATAGCTAATGAGTTTTCTTTCATTTTTCTTTTATTTTTAGTCATCCCACAATGACATGTACTACTTTTAACATCCAAAAGAAATTATCATTCACATATAAAAAAATGGCCGAGAGCCATAAATGCCCTCGCTATGCCTAGAACTGAAAAGGGACTGCAGAATCTGAGAACTGGAAGTAGTGTTTGAATAAGCAGGCTGTCGACTGCAGGGATGGGCTTAGAGTCCAGAAGCAGACGTGGCTTGAGTTCTAGCTCTGCTACTTAACATTTCGGTGACAGCGGACAAGGTAAGGAACTTCTCTGGATCTGCGTTTCCTCACAGCCAGCCTTCGAGGCTGAGACGCAAACCCCGGGCACCACAGCCACAGGAACAGAATAATACTTCCAAATGAGGGAGACCATCAGGGCAGCCTGCGAAGACACTATGCTGAGTGCCAACCACCTGCCGTCCCGCGGCCAGTCCTCAGAGAGAAGAGGACACCCCACAGCGACGACCAAGCCCTATCAATCCAGTCCCTGCAGCCCACAGCGCCGGTAACATATACAGCTGACCTTGAACAATGCGGGTTAGGGGCACCGACCCCACACAGTCAAAAACCCCAGTGTAACTTCTGACTCCCCAAAACATAACTACTAATAGCCTACTGCTGATAAACAGCTGACTAGCACATATTTTATGTTATATATATCATATACTGTGTTCCTACAATTAAGCTAGAGAAATGTTAAAAAAATTATAAGGAAGAGAAAATACAAATATATCTTTTATACATTCATGACATACCTTTTTCTCTTTTTTTCTTATTTCTACTTTATTTTTTTAATTGATTAAGTTATTACATATGTCTCTTTATCCCCACATTACCCCCCATCCCCCCACTCATGCCCTCACCCCCCTGTTGTCTGTGTCCATTGGTTAGGCACCTTTTTCTTAATATTGTCAATATTTCTAGGCTATTCAGTGGTTCACCTGTGAGTTTTGTCAAATTGTCACAAGTCTCCAAAAAAATTTCCAATATATTTATTGGAAAAAAAATCCACATATAAGTGGACCCATGCAGTTCAAACCGATGTTGTTTGAGCGTCAACTAGATACACTATTAAATTAGCTGATAAATAATGAAGATTTCCCATAACACAAGTGTTCTTTTCTCATTGAATATCTCTTTTAAGTAAACTATGCTAAATACACCGTACTAGGGACAAAAGCAACCTTACGCCTCTGGATCCTTCAAAAAGTAGTTGATTCTCATCCACACTCTAGTGCTGGCCTTCCCATGCAGAAGTGGGCCTCTGCAAGTTTAAATGGTGAGAGCATCTCTTCTCTCCCCTCCTTTCCCCAGCAGCATTCCCTCAAGTTGTCTTTTGTCCCCTCTGTAGCCCTGAATATGTCACTCAAATATGCCCTAAAAGAGGGCCTCTGGCGCTGGCCGGGTAGCTCGGTTTGTTAGAGCATTGTCCCGATATCCTGGGGTGGGGACCGTCCAGCCCTCGGGCCATATAAGACCAGCAAAATCATTTGGTCTGGCCCTATTAAGGCATCAGGGGTGAGTTAGTTAAATGTTTGACCACATACAGCAGGCTAATTTTTAAGTTGATAATTGTGTATGGCCCCCGGAAGATGTTACAAATATCCCAATGGCCCTTGGTAGGAAAAGGTCCCCACACCTGCGATACGCCAAGATTGTGGGTTCGATCCCCTGTCAGGGCACATACAAGAAGCAACCAATGAATACACAAATAAGTGGAACAACAAGTCGATGTCTCTGACTGTCTCTCTGTCTGTGTCTCTCTCTCCTTCTCTCTCTCTCTCTCTCAAATCAATAAATTTTTTTTTTTTAATTAAAAGAGGGCCCCTGGCTTAACTTCAGTCCCTGGAAAAACCTATCTCATATCAGTGACAGCACCTCAGGATCAAAGTACTTACTATAACCAAACAGCCTGAGTCCTTTACCCCAATCAACATCATTCATAACATTGAACCTCAGAGATCATTTAAAGCAGCCATAGCAGATCCGCAACCTCAGGGTAAGGCAAGTAAAAGTCCCCCCCTAGGGAAGTTGTGAGTCAGTGGTACTGGACTTGAATGACAATACGGGTTCCCCACCTGGAGAATAGACAGTCACTTACCCATCTGTAGACCATGGAGGAAGCAACAGCCAAAACCACTGGCCATCTCAGAAAACACCATTTCTAAGTAAGCTTCTCTCACTTCACCCCCAGCCTCCCAAACCTGCGCTGGAGTGAAGGCCACATGAAGAACTCCAGAGGAGTTGCTTAGGCGTTCATTTGCTTAAAAATCCCAAGAGTTAACGACACTAATCAAGAGAAAGGCTTTTCATCTAACTTATAAATTCAGAGTGTTCGGAGTTACATGCTTGCAGGACACTCAGCACAGCAGCTGAAGGTGGAAAAGCCTGGATTCCAGGGGCCGAAGTAGAGCAAAGTCCATCACCAGCTTTACTGACCCAGTGACACAACAGGACACTCACCTGCAATACGTAGAAGGCAACACTCATAACCCACTTGATCTTGGCCAACTGCGCTGTCCGTGCTTTCACTGAAAGGAAAAACAGGATGAAATGATTATATCAGCCCTGAAAGGAGAAGAAAATATTCAAATACACAGAAGTGCTCTTTTTTTATTTAATATATTTCTTTATTGATTTCAGAGAAAAAGGGAGAAGGAGAGAGAGATAGAAACATCAATGATGAGAGAGAATCATTGATCGGCTGCCTCCTACACACCCCCCATTGGGGATCAAGCCCGAAACCCAGGCATGTGACCTTGGCCGGAATCGAACCTGGGACCCTTCGGTCCGCAGGCTGACGCTTTATCCACTGAGCCAAGCTGGCTAGGGCCAGAAGTGCTCTTTTGTCTCACAAAATATTTTCTAATTATGCATGTACATATAAAATAGGATGTCTTACATCACCCACTATGCTATTATTTAAAATAGAGCTCAGCCAAAGTGGCTCAGTGGTTGAGCATCAACCTATGAACCAGGAGGTCATAGTTCAATTCCCAGTTAGGGAACAAGCCCGGGTTGCAGGCTTGACCCCAGTGTGGGGGCGTGCAGGAGGCAGCTGATCAATGATTCCCCCTCATCATTGATGTTTCTACCTCTCTCTCTCTCCTTCCCCCTCTGAAATCAATAAAATTATTTTTCAAAAATTAAAAATAAAATAGAATCACATACAGATTGGGAGATGTGAAGCTTTAATTTCAAAAAACCTTAAAGCTATTCATCTAGCCTCACTGGTGTGGCTCAGTAGTTGAGCATCGACCTATGAACCAGGAGGTCACAGTTCAATTACCGGTCAGAGCACATGCCCAGGTTGCTGGCTCGATCCCCAGTCTGAGGCGTGCAGAAGGCAGCCAATCAATGATTTTCTCTCATCTCTGATATGTCTATCTCTCTCTCCCTCTCCCTGCCTTTCTGAAATCAATGAAATATATTTTTTAGAAAAAGCTATTCATCTAAATCAGAGATTCTTTTCACAATGCACTTACCAATCACTAGGACTAAATGTTCTTCCCTGATTCCCCGGTCTACACTGTACACTAATCCATAAGGGAGCCTAATTGCCTGTTTTGCTAGCCACGCAGACAGCTCTCTCACAGTGCATGCTCTCAGCACACAGGCTGCCCTGTGAAAATCGTCGTCATCACAGCAGACTGTTATGGACAGTGGCAAACATCAAAATGAGTAAGACCTGAGTCTACACTCGGATAGCACTTTTTAGAGAACAGAATAAGAAAGCCCCTGAGACCCTAGCCAGTTTGGCTCAGTGGATAGAGCACTGGCCTGCAGACTAAAGGGTCCCGGGTTCAATTCCAGTTAAGGGCACATGCCCCGGTTGCAGGCTCGATTCCCACTAGGGGGCCTGCAGGAGGCAGACAATTAATGATTCCCTCTCATCATTGATGTTTCTATCTCTCTCTCCCTCTACCTTCTTCTGTGAAATCAATAAAAATATTTTTAAAAAAAAAAAAGAAAAAGGAAAAAGAAAGCCCCTGAGAATTCACTGTGAGATTCTTTTCTAGGCTTCTCTCAGAAAAGTTGAATTTGAAAATGACAACCTCTCAAGTTGGCTCTGAAGAGACTCTAAGAGTATCCTGAATGTTTCTGTTAGAAAGCAAAGGTTCACCAGCAAAATAAAGAGAAAGTAATGTAATTATTATTATTGGGTTTCTCCTAGACAACTTCAAGGTTTATATCAACCTTTAAACATCCAAGAATCAGTGCGTGTGTTCTACAAATCATCACAGAAAAGGTTTTTCTATGAATCAGCTCTTATGAAGCTTTCCAAAAACTACAAATGAAAACAGTACCATGAGGGGAGCATTTGAGGTCTTGCTTCCCGGCAATGTCATCAGTTTGGCTCAAATAAACTCTTATAAAAATTCAAAACAAAAAATAAAAAACTGCACCATGAGTTTTGAGCTTATCTGTCATCTTGTTGATCTTTCTTTCCAGCCTGGCGTATCTGGCGAACTCGTCCATCATGTTGACAGTGGAGAGCTCCTGCTTCATGTCCTGGATCTCTGCTCTCATCTGAGACTCCTGCTCTGCATCCTTCTGCAGCACCCTGGACATCTGGTGGAGCAGACAGCGGGGGTCAGTGCCTTTCCACTTGGGGTACAATTCTCCTCGCCTCCACCATCCTGCCTGCTGCCTCTCTCGCCTGGGCAGGCTGCCCCTTACCTAGATGGCCAGCCTCTGCTGCCTGGTCCTGGTCCTGCTCCGTAAAACTGCAAATATAAAACCTCCCTTCGGCCCAGCCCGCGTGGCTCAGTGTTTGAGAGTCCACATATGAACTAGGAGGTCAGGGTTCGATTCCTGGTCAGGGCACATGCCTGGGTTGTGGGGGCATGCAGGAGGCAGCCGATCAATGATTCGCTCATCATTGATATTTCTCTCTCTCTCCCTCTCCCTTCCTCTCTGAAATCAATAAAAATATATTTAAAAAATAGAAAACCTCCCTCTGATTTGAATCGCTATTCACATTGTATTTTTCCTTTTGAAGACATGCCAACGGATTGCTATGGTACAAATATGTGTGTCTTTCACTATAACTATAAAATTGGAATTATAAAATAGAAACTGTTTCCATTCCAGAGCTGTCATTCAGGTACGCGGACCAGGCATCTCCTGCCCGCCCTGAAGAATCCAATCCTAAGTTAGGTAGGCAGAGCAGGATGCGGGTGCAGAGTACCAGTGATGAGGGCATTCCTGCCAAGGGGCACCCTGGCAAGAGGGGGCCGGGGAGGGGGGTCAGAGCCAAGCGTAGTGATATGGGTGTCTCCAGAAAGGGTAGCCTGATGTGGGAGTCAGAGGAGGAGCAGGGTAAGGGGCACATAGTGGTAAGAGGAGGTACCCAGCCAAACACTCGCAGAGCCCAAGTGGCATCCATGCTTGACAGGGGGTGGCAGTGGGAGAGTAGTTATAAAGGATTCGTCAAATAAAGTCCCTCACACTGCCCTCCACTGTGTCAGTCCTGGGGCGCCTGCGCAGTGCTCCTCCTGCGCCCACGCAGACTGGGTGGAGTCTAGAAGTCCCCCTCCTCCTCGGCCGCCTTTGACTAAAGAAGTCCTGCAAAATGAACAAGGTTCCCTCATCCATGTGTCCTGTGACCAGCTGAAAGGGGAAAGAGCAAGAGCTCTCAGGAAAATGCCAAGTCAACAGCAGGGACTGGGGTGTCCTTATCCAAGCACGCATCCCATCCCAATATTCAGCCGAGATCCCCACCCGAGACCTTGCAAGGCTTTGCTGGGCAGAGGATTCCTGGCATTAGTATTCCTCACGGGCTCAGGCCAGGGGGCCAGCCAGCTGCTCGGCTAGTGGGATGGTGCACCCCTCCCTTGCTTCTGGCTGAACGGAAACCAGAAACATTGCAAGAAGGTTATGATCTGAAGTGCAAGGGTGTGGCCCATTCCCAAACTCTTTCCCTCCTCGGAGCCTTGCCCACTTGGGTCCTAAAATCAGGGCCTGTGGTGGGCAGCACTTTACCTCCATGGGACCAGGACGTTCCTTACAGCTTTTCACTGACCCTCAGCACCAACCCAGTGACCAGGTGGAACAACAGGGCGTACACTAAGAAAACCCGAACCTGGCTAACAATCCCGACAAACAGTGCTGCAACCAAGGGACAGAGATTTAGGAAAGCTAACTGGTTTGGGTTTAGAAAGGTTATGGAGCCTGTAAGAAGCAGCATAGATGTGACACAAGTCCAAGGTCAAACCAAATCCTCTTTCATCTAAATCAGCGGTTCTCAACCTGTGGGTCGAGACCCTTTTGGGGGTCGAACGACCCTTTCACAGGGGTCACCTAAGACCATAGGAAAACACATATATAATTACATATTGTTTTTGTGATTAATCACTATGCTTTAATTATGTTCAATTTGTAACAATGAAATTGGGGGTCACCACAACATGAGGAACTGTATTAAAGGGTCGCGGCATTAGGAAGGTTGAGAACCACTGATCTAAATGATGAACAGTCACTCATACAGGGCAGCAGCTCACCCGCGTCTAGACTGCAGCAATAACCTCTGTGACAGTGTTTGGTGTAGGCGTGGTGAAGAAGCCTGACATGACCGGTCTTATTCACAGCTGCTGGCATACCCCACACACACACTCCAACTCCCCCCTCAGCTAAGGAGAAATCACAAACAATTCATAGAGGAATGCAAAACACAGCCTCTGAGAACTGAGATTAGTTGCATGTGGCTCCAACATGAGGTGAAATGGGGTGGGGTACATAGGAAGAATGGAGGAAGAATGCAAGATGGACAGTAACCCCACAAAATGGAAGACAGCATCTGCAAATCACGTGGAATAGAGTTCGTATCCAGAATATATAAAGTACTCCTAATTCAACAACAGAAAAACAAACAGCCCCTCCCTCCTGCTGTGGGCCTACGGAGGGTGCTCTGCCCCTGGGGACAGCTCCTGGTGCTCAATTTAAAAATGGCATAAGAAATGGCATAGACATTTCTCTAAAGAAGAGATACAAATGGCCAATAAGCTCAAGAAATGATGTCCAATATCACTAATCATAAGGAAAAATGTAAATCAAAACCACAATGATATGCCATTTTGCACCTATTGGGATGGCAATTCTCAAAGCAACAACCTAACATGACAAGTGGTGGAGAATGTGGAGAAATTGCAACTCTTGTGCAGTGCTGGTGAGAATGTAAATGGTGCAGCTGCTGTGAAAAATAGAATGGCAGTTTCTCAAAAAAATTACATGTGGAGCTATCATATGATCCAGCAATTCCATTTCTGGGTATTTACCCAAAAGAATTGAAAACAGAGACTCGCACAGATATGTGTACACCAATGTTCTACCAGCACTACTCACAATAGCCAAAAGGTGAAAACAACCCAGATGTCCATCTAAAGATGAACAGGTAGACACAACGTAGGACATACATATAATGGACTAATATTCAGCCTTAACAAGGAATGCAATCCTGACACTCACTACAAGGACGAACCCTAAAGACATTATGATACGCAGAACAAGCCAGTCACAAAATGACAAATACTGCACTATTTCATGTATATGAGGTACTTCGAGTCGTCAAATTCATAGAGACGGACAGTAGAACGGTGGGTGCCAGGAAGAGAGAGAATAAGGAGTTAGTGTTTAATGGGTACAGGTTCAGTTTAGGAAGATGAAAAACTTCTGGAGATGGGTGGTGGTGACAGCTGCGCAACAATGTGAATGGACTTAGTGCCACTGAACTTTACACCTAAAAAACTATTAAAATGATTATCCTATATAATAAAAGGCTAATAATATACAAATTATCCCTTTAACCAGGGGGCAGGGCCAGCCAGCCAACCACCTGCGGCCCCTCCCCTTGGCCAGCCTGGCCTGATAGGCCACAATTGGGGTGGGCCAGCCAGACCCCACCCATGCACAAATTCATACACCAGGCCTCTAGTACTTCATAATTATTTTCTTAGCTCCATGATTATTGTAAGACAATAAGACTACTAAGCAGACCGGTCTGCTTTCTAACCATTTCATCTCCCTATTGACAAAGCTGGATCTAAGGGTTGCCTGAGGAATTCCTTGGTAGATTTAGTCTAATATTCATGTATAAAATATTCATTGAGCACCTACTTTGGGCACAAATAAATAAGCTATGTCTGCTGCTCTAGAAGAGCTCACAGTCTGGTATGATTTCATATGTTAATCACATACAAAAGTATTGTTGCTGCTTTAGAAGTAAGCATACTACTTTGATGATTCCAACACTGACAACAATGATTATTGAATTTTAGTTTGCACACAAGGATCACAGGGAGAGCTTGTTAAAAATGCAGATTCTGACTCGGGAGGTCTTAGGGCCTAAATACTCCAACTGATTCTGAAGCAAATGATCTAAGTTTGAGAAATACTAATAGAGAACCCTACCTTAAGTTTGCTTAAGCGGACCTATGCTCAACCAAAGGTCATCGTCTCAATATTAGTCCAAGATTAAAAATTCAATTTGCAGCAACAAGATTACTTGACAGGTCTAAAATTTAACAGTGTGTGAAAACTGTTTCCCAATCACTTGGAGAGACAGTTAAACCAACCCCTTGTCAGTCAATGTAGGCAAGCGAGAAGAAGCAGAAGATTAAGGACAGAAAGCAGCCAGTCTAAAGCAAAACAACACAAGGAGCAAGTGGACCTGAGTAGAAAGGATGTTAAATCAACAATGAAAGAAAACTTCATTGAGTTTGGACAAGTTAGAGGTGGAGCAAGAAATCAACTTTCAATTACCTTCCCAAGTTCCAGAATTTGATGAATAACACAATTTTTATGAAAAAGGTTAAAGTTTGGGAGAAATTTGCATTAACATTTAGTAAATGAATAGACCATATAATGTGAAATAGGGCAGCAAATCTCTCTCCTAATTTAATATTATATTGTTAATATTGAATAAAATATTTTCATATTTTCACAATATAATCATTTTCCTGGCAAATCTTTTGTCAAGTCAAAACATACCAGAGTTTAGGAACCTGAGAGCATTAAAGAATATTAGCTGACTATACTAAGGATTAAAGAAATATGTGATACTACAGATGTATGTACAAATATATCATTTTCTATATTGTCCCTCTTTCACACCACTACTAACCCATGTGGTTTAACAATAACTACTACTTCTATTAATACTATTCCCACAGATATTACTACAACTACTACCATTCGTGTAATGATTACTTTTCTAGTTAAAGGCACTTTTAAATATTTCTCTTTTTGTTACTCACATCTCTCCCTTTGAGATACGTAAGGCAGATACTATAATCTTTAATTTGCATATGAAAATTAGAGTCCCTGAGATATTAAGCAATACACTATCAGTTACTTT